TTGATGCCTGTGGACCCTTCTTTTTGTTTCAGAGAAGTTTAGCAGCCAGTATGTGCTGTAGGGATCGAAAGGACCAGCAATTTAGCCTGTTGTCATCACTTACTGTCTCTGTGGCTTTAGATGAGTCACTCCTCTGCTCTGAGTCACTGCTTTCTCTTCTCTAAAATGGAGTAAGGATTCCTATTTACATCTCACAGTTGGTGTGAGGATCATTTGAAATAAAATGTGGAGAAACACTTGGAAAACTATAAAGTAGAGATTGTATACAAATGAAGAATCCAGGCTGCCAATCTAGTTGGCTTGTTGTAGACATTTTAAAAAATTTTAGCCAGCATTTAAAATTGTGTGTACTTTGCATAAAATCCAGAGCTTTGGCTTCCATTGGACAATTGGGAGGTCAGCTCACACTGGGCATTCAAACATGAGAGAAATTTTCTGGAACTGAGAGGCAGAGGGCCCTCAGGATGGGCAGGGCTTGTGGTGTGATCCCGTCTGTACTTACTGACCTCCCCCCAGCTCTGTCACACATGTACTTTGCAATCACCCTATTCTAAAGTCTACCCACCTTGTCTGTACAGATACCAAGGACAGAGCACAGTATTAAAATAAGCAGTTCCTAAGATTTGTAGAACAGGAATGATGCCATAGTGTGATACGTCATTACTTTGTGTAGATTTGATATAACCTTCAAACTATCTCCAAATCACTGCTTGGCTATGCTATTTATGGAGTGAGTTTTGTAACATAGGGTAGTTTCTATCACAGGTGTTAATTATGAATATTAACTTTCTTTTGTTAAAAAGAACAATATTAAATATAAGATGTCAAAGCAAAGTCGGAAAGAGTGAAAGAAGGGAAGTTTTCTTTCTTAGGAAAAGATAAAGATAGAAAATCTCTAAATTTGGCTAGCTGAATTAAGTGGAATTGTGATATTTTCATGTTTAAACTAGAGTGTGGCAGATTGCAAACCTAAGGGACTGGTTACTGCATCCAGAAACCTTGTGCCCGCAATTCTGCATAAATTCCTCTGGATGCCATAGTGCATCTGAGGGATGTAAGTAGCTGGGTTTTCTCTCTAGAGTTGATAATCAAAGAATTATAAGTTGAAATCATACTATCTCAATGTTATCTACAAAGTATATTTATTATTAAAACAATAGTATAAATATGAAGCAAATTAGACCCTAAATGTGAATTTTAGGGAATGAAATAGTAATACTATCTATAGCAAGAATGAAAGAAGATACAGGTCTTTTAACATCTTCCTTCTCCGTGGTGGATTGTCACCTGGTTTCTCCCCGGCCTGCTGCCTCGCTCTGGGAGCCTGAGATTCTTTGCACACACTTCTTTAAGGACGTGCCAGTTTTCCTTGCTGCTGCTTTGAGGTCTGATAGCCAAATGGGAAGCAGTCCTCTTTGTGGATGTCTTCCATAAAGCAGATTTCAGGTGCTACATTTGGCTTTTTTTTTTCTTTGTACCCAAATTTAGTTCTTTTCACTAAACTAGCCATACGATCACGGTCTGTTCCCATGAGTTTCTCCACTGGGTACTTTTGGACTGATACTAAACTCACGTGGCATTCACGTAGCCTGACGTGGTCTGCCTTCTCTTTGCTTCCACCCAGAGACAGGGTTGTCTCTGCTGCTATTCCTGACTCATTCTTTGTGGTACATGTTGAATATAGCAATATACCATTTATGTATACCTTCTTCCCCTCATGTAGCCCTTTCAAACAATAGGTTGGGTTTTTCCCCTGATTTTTGCCAGACTCGGGGGTGGGAGGGCAATTAAAAGAGACTTTATTTTTCATAATACTTATAATAAAAAGAAAAAAAGAACAAAATTATCACTGAGTTAAAAAAAAAAAAGTAAGTAAATTTTTATGTGTAGTTGTTTTGTTGCTTTTGATGGATATTAATGCCATAAGGATAGTAGCTTATGTAGCAAGAGATTATTGGATACAAGTTATTGTTCAGCCATTTCATTGGCACTTATTTTTTTAATCATTAGAATTACATTAATCCCAGCACAGTAACTAAGTCTGGAATTTTGATGTTATTTCATTTCGTTACAAATAATTTGGAATGCTCAACAGTTTGAAATACTGCTTGTGATTTAAGTAGATGAATGAATGCTTGTCACAACTCACACTTGGTAACTCTCTCAAGCAAAGAAGCTATTGAAAAGACAGAAGTTCGAAATAAAGTATTGCTTGATTTAAGATGTCTTAAGCAATAGAACCCAATGTACATATTGAATTCCTCAAAGGGTCATGTACTTACTCCTCCTAGAATGAAAAAAGAAGGAAAAAAGGAAAGAAGGAGGGAAAGAAGAGAGACAGGGAGGGAAGAAAGAAGAAACAGAAAGGAGAAATAAGGAAGGAAAAAGAAAAGTATGTTCTTTGAGTGACAACTTTACATAATGAGAAATAATTCTTCTGTAACATTAACTTGTAACGCTCCTGTGATACGACTTCCTGCAATTTGTCATAATTGTCCATCTTCTCTCAATTCTAGAGTCTGTAGAGGCAGGATCACGTCTTTCTTTCTTATTGTTGTAATCCCTGGCACAGGGCTTGGCATGGAGGAATTACTATATATCTGTATCTCTCTCTCTCTAGTCAATGAATGACATCAATTCCTCTTTTGATAGCTCTGAAATTACTTTTTTTTTTTTTTAATGGAAAAAGGACAGAATGCAGGACTGTCTGGGGGAGTCTATTCGCAGAGTCTGGCCAAATATCCAATGATACTAAAAGCACTTTGAGTGCCTACCTTGGACTCTCCTTCCTAACTCTCCTGAAACCTCAGGCTTTTGAACCTCTGCCATGCTGATGGTGAAGAAAGGAATGCCGAAAAAAGGAGATGTGCAGCTGGTTTTGCCTGAGACTCCCTAGAGAGCTCATAAAATGCTGGTTCCCAGGTCCCGACCCAAGACCTTCTGTTTCAGTTGCTATGGGGTGATGTCCAGAGGATCAGTATTTTAAAAGCTGCCCAGATGATTCAGTGCTCTGCTTGGGTTGAAAAACATGTCTAGATGGTCAAATCTACATTAGTTGATGTGACCACAAGCTCCCAAGTGGAGACAGTGGTGGGTGGCTGGCTCACAGTGTAAAAGAGTGTCCACAATGAAAGCTCCCCCCTTCCCTGACACTGTGGCCAATAAATGTCCATGCCTTTGATCCTGGTCCACTCTGGTGAAGGAGGAAGTGGGAATGAGGGAAGGGAGAAAGGGATTGATGAAACACAGACCTTGCCTTTGTGGTTGGAGCCTGCCACTAATAAATGTTTTAAATCAAATATATTGAGCCACTGTTAACAAGTACTTGTTGAGGACCAACTGTATGCCAGAATTCACAGGTCCTGTGACTAGAGCAGTGAACAAAACCAGCAAAGCTCCTGCCTTCCCAGAGAGAACATTCTGGGAGCCAAGACAGAGAATAGACAGACAGATTGATGTCACTGATATCAATGAATATTATGGGAAGACAATGGAAGCAGGATCAAGAGTAGAGTGATGAGGATAAAGTAAGGGTTAGATGGGGTGGTCAGGGAGGACAGCTCTGAGGAGGTGATGCATGCATTGAGACCTGGATGAAGAGAAGGAGCAAAGGTGGGAACCATGTGAGAGCTGGGGGGACAGCAGGGGAAGAGCCCCTGAGTTGGAGATGCCCTTGGCATGTTCAGAAGTAGAAAGAAAGTCCTTGGGGTTAGATTGGAGCATATCGTGGAGGGCCTTGGATAGGAGACCAGGGAAAGGAGTCTAGAATTTGTCTCAAGTGTGATACCAGGGTCCTTGGAGAATAATGAGCAGGAGATGGATTTTTATTTTGAAAAAATCATTCTGACTGCTTTGAGGAAAATGGATTATAGGGGCTGAGACTAGAGGAAGGGCCACCATTTGTGAGGCCATTGCAGTTGTCCAAGTAGATGAGAGTAGCTTAGATGAAGATTGCAAGAGTGGAGGAGGGAGAAAAAACAAGATGCAGGATACGTTTGAAAGTAAGAGTGGTGAAGACCTGCAGATGCATTCAGTGGTGCGTGTCAGAGAAAGAAGTTTCAGGTGGGTGACTGGTGGTTATAACTATAAGATAACAGTAAAATGAATTCTGAATGCTTAAATATTGCGAGATACATGGCCAGCCCTCTGTAAATCTTGGCTCTTATCAAACATCTGACTGAGTGAATAGATCATGGGACAGTCAAGTCTGCAGCTTAGGGGATGGAGCTGGGGATGTACATTTGGGAGTCACCAGGGTATGGGGGGCACTTAAGCCCATTGGGCTGGATGAAATCATCAAGGGCGTATGAAGTGAGAAGAGCAGGTTGAGGGTGGCGTCCTCGAGCACTTCAACGCAGACATTGAGCGCAGAGGAGGAAAGCCCAGAAGACAAGACTGAGTGGGAGGGAGGTGTCCATGAGACTGCAGGGAATTCTGGGGCATGCAAGGCCTGGAAGCGTGTGGAGAAAGGCTTGGAAGGTGAGAATTGACTAAAATATTGCTGACAGGTCTTAAAAAGCAATGGAGTCTGAGGCTGACCCTTGGAGGTTCTGGGTGACCTTTCCAAGTCCTTGGCTTGAAATTTGTAGAAGCCTCCTCTGAAAACTTGACATCTTTCTGAGGCACTTGCTGTTTCTTGGAGGGAACACTTAGTCTTTGTTTTTTTCCCCCTTTTCCTCTTTCTCTTCTGTCGTCTTCACGGCTTATCATCATCTTTCTCATTCGATGAAGCCAACAGCTACCCTGCCTGCCTTTAAAACCAAACAAGTTGTATTTTCAAGACTAGCCCCATTCGAGAATCCTGAGCTGTGCTTTCTGCAACACACTATTTATTTACTAATCACTCAGGCCATTGTATCATGTTTCTGAGATGAGTATGTTGAGAGGTAGGCATGGGAATAGCCATTATTTACATAACTAAAATATTTAAAAATTCCACATGAATTTTAAAAGATAAATTAGAGTTTAGGATGCCGATAGCCCTTGAATTCCCATTTCAGGAGAGAGAACGCTGCCGTCTGGAAAGTGGTCCTTGGCATCAACAATCTAGACCACCCGTCAACGTTCATGCAGACGCGCTTCGTGAAGACCATCATCCTGCATCCTCGCTACAGCTGGGCGGTGGTGGACTACGACATCAGCATCGTCGAGTTAAACGAAGACATCAACGAGACAAGCTACGTCCGGCCGGTCTGCTTACCCAGCCCTGGGCAGTGGCTGGAGGCCGACACCTACTGCTACATCACGGGCTGGGGCCACATGGGCAACAAAAGTAAGCCGGGACCTTCAGGAGCCTTTCGGCTTGTGATAAGAGGCACTGTGTTTCTGCCTATCCTTTAGCTATAATTTTCCATTTTCACTTATAAAAATCTAGCCACAAATGGTAAATCCCTGTGTATGTGTTGCACTCCCCTTGCAGTGCAAATGGTAGACGTTAATAATCCATTATGGCACTTAAACTCGCCAAGCTCAGAGGCAATCTCAAAAATCCTTCTCTACACCTCAGACTCTTTCTCCAGGGAGCTGCTCCCAGTGTTTTGGAGGTGCCATGCGAGATGAGGCTTAGCAGCCATCCTTGCTGTAGACTGTGTTAATGATTTGGGCTATCTGTAGGCAGAGTCAGTAAGAGTCTCTACCTAGTGGTTAGTCAAGCTGCATGGTCATATTTCCAATTCTCTGTTATGAGTGGGTCTTTTTTTTTTTTTTGAGACAGAGTCTCATTCTGTTGCCCGGGCTAGAGTGCCGTGGCATCAGCCTAGCTCACAGCAACCTCAAACTCCTGGGCTCAAGCGATCCTGCTGCCTCAGTCTCCCGAGTAGCTGGGACTACAGGCATGCGCCACCATGCCCAGCTAATTTTTTCTATATATTTTTAGGTGTCCATCTAATTTCTTTCTTTTTTTAGTAGAGACGGGGTCTCGCTCTTGCTCAGGCTGGTCTCGAACTCCTGACCTTGAGTGATCCCCCTGCCTTGGCCTCCCAGAGTGCTAGGATTACAGGTGTGAGCCACCGTGCCCGGCCTATGATTGGGTCTTATTTACATCTGTAGCACAACCTGTAAGTCCTAGAAAGCAAATTGATTTGCTATTTGCCTATTTAAATTGATTAAAATAGTTCGCCTCTGTACATGATTTAAATACGTAAAACACACAGAGATTAAAAAATCTGTACTACTACTTACTCTCAATCCCCATAACAGACCCTCTCATTCTATCTGTTTAAAGTTTAGAATGAGAATCAAATCAATGAGACATTTTCTTTAACTGCAAGTGCTGGCCACTCTGAGTATATCAAATATAATGCCATGGCGCTGAGGAATGATGATGTGTATTGGCATTCTGTCATCGACCTTAGAAATTGTATATTCGAAGGAATGTCTTTGTCTTGAAATTTAGCAAGATGAATTTTGAGCTGAGTTTCTTTTTTATATGTTCAATTAAAGGATGAAAAGAAAAAGTCAACAGACAGAAATCAATGACTTTTTCAGAAAAAGTTCACATGTAAGAATTTTGAAGGCAATGTTGTACATATGATGTCACCATTCCTATGCATCTCAGTTTTAAAATCTATAATTGTTACTGTAATCTAAGAGCAGAATATATTTTATATTGCCTTTGCTTGTATTCCTCCTACAATATCCATATGAAACTGAGAGCAATAGTGGAACATAGTACGCATACCACATACAGAGTGTAACATGAAGAGCAAGGATCTGAATTCAAAATCAGAAAGATTTGATGGACCCTGACTGTACTACCTTCTAGCTCACTATAAAATGAACAAAATAATAACAACTGTTCTCCATGTCTCTGAGCAATGCCCAAAGAAAATAAATATAAAAAAAGGCAACTGTCTAACTCACAGGATTGTTGTAAAGATTAAAGGCAATAAGGTAAGGCCCAGAAGGTGCTGAGTATAGGTGCTCGGCTACCACTGGTACCCAATATATGTTAGCTATTGTTCTTATCCTTCTTTTAACAATTCATGAAACGTTTGCTGTCTGCCACATTCATTTTTCCAAAAATGACTCTTTCTTCCAAAAAGGTACCCAGGGATGATTCTCCATCACTGTTTAAAAGAATGGTGTGTATAATTTTGTAGAATGGCTAAACAGCAAAAGATTCATGCTCCCTTGCTCCAAGAAAGCCATTGTTATTCTGCAAAAACTTTCAAGATGGAATTCACATATTCTCTCTGTCGACACCAAGGGATGGCTTTGTCCTTTTCAATATGTCTCTGTTATATCCTCGAGGATGAAAGGTTCTTACATCAAATAATGGCTACTGGAGCACAAGATGAGACGTCCTTTTCACCAAGAATAGAGCAACCCTTCCGCTGTTAGATTTAACAGGGATTCTCTACTTCAGCAGAGCAAGACTGACATGGGGAGCTGACACCGGGCTGGCAGCCTCCGATCTGGAGAGGAGCTCTGGCTTGATTTTTTTTTTTCTTTTCATTGTAGTAGCTGTTATTTTTGGTAGCATATACAAGAGGGGAAAAGCATGAAACAAGCAACTTACCTGGACTGTGCCTCAATTTCCTTATTAAGAAAATAAAAGGGTTTCCCCAGATGATTGCTATGAACACTTCTAATTGGGAAATTCTGATTCCAAATAAGGCTTGTCTTCAAAATGACATTTCAAGTACAGAATATGGTTCTTTTGGTATAAAACTGTTCGTATGATATTTAAATTTCTTCTTTGGCTAGTTTCACTTCTGAATCATTTTATCATTTTGTGTATATTTCTTCTTCTTTTTAATCCAGTGCCTTTTAAGCTGCAGGAGGGAGAGGTCCGCATTATTTCCCTGGAGCAGTGTCGGGCCTACTTTGACATGAAGACCATCACCACGCGGATGATATGTGCCGGCTATGAGTCCGGCACGGTCGACTCCTGCATGGTAAGTTGCTTTCTGGTTACCAAGAAGATTCAGTTCAGCAATAACCTCCGTGAGTCCCTGCGAACTTATTATTATTCACGTATGGTCCTTTGGGAACATTTTTTGAGAACTGTGTGTTGCCAAATGCTGAATTATTCATAATGTGTTTTCCTTCAGCCAGTACCCAGCAAACCCCTTAACTACCTCCATCCCCTTTGTTCAGGTTGCCTTCAGCTTTTTACATGTATTTACTGCATGGGGAACATTACCCTTGGTCAGCAACACAAGGAAAAACCCTTGTTTCTGTCCTCTCAGTCAACCATTTTGTTGGTTAGGAAAAACGAGGTTCTAGGAGGAGCTAGTGGCAACCATGGCCCCAACTCCAGGGAGCAGGGGCCACCAGAGGACATTATCAGCCATTAGGGCGATGGCATAAGGCACTCACCAACAGCCCAGTTTGCATGGTATGTGACAGGACTATCCCTGTCTCCAGAGTGAGCACACTGGCCTTGTCTGGGTTTTCTGGGCCGTTACGTGATTGCCAAAAAGTTCTCAAATGTCACTGAACCCAGCCCTCAGATACTGAGGATTTGTGGCCACAACCATTTTCACAGCATGCTAACTTAGCAGTGCAGGGAAGCATTTTTATTTTTACTTAATAAATATTCATTGAATATTTTACTGGACTGGCTCCCAGGAAAGGGTGAACATGTGCAAGTTCTCGAGAAAAACTTGATAACCAAGGCGGGGAGACAGTTATTATGCTACACTGCTACGAAGCATCTTCGTTATTTTACTGCTTTGGAGTAGACTAAATTGCCTCCACATTTTAGTGTTGAAGAAGAGATACAACAACACCACGACCACTAACTCAACATAATTCAATGACATTTTTGATGGTCCATTTTAGAATGGAAAAGTCAGGGGATGGAAATGGTCAGTGCTGACAGTGCTGATTCCTTAGACAGTTGTCACAGGAAGAGGGAGCAGACAGTTCCCTTGGGGTTTCCCTGAGGCCACCGTCCTGCCTCGTGGTCACAGCCATCAGCTGAGGGAGGCAGCGGTAGAGGAATCCCTCCCTTCTACGTAAGAAGCCAAGGTTTGACTCCGCAAGTCCCCCCACAGAAACAAAGTGTTTTAGGAGACGCGGTGTGGGGCATGGAGCAGGATTTGCAGCCTGAAAGATCCGGGTTGGATCCCATCTCTGCCAGTGAGAACAATGTAACCTGGGGACGCCAGCCAACCTCTTTAGACAGTTTTCTCATGAGTGAAATGGGGCCACTATGCCTAATTTACAGGGTGTTTTCAGGATTAACTGAGTTAACATATGTGAAAGTCCCTATCTCTCATCTATCTGTATGTAATGCCTGGCACATACTGAGCCATTCAGTGAATTATAATTATATTAATACCAACTTCTGTTGCTTTAGTGCTTATTGTGTCCCAGGCTCTCTGCAAAATGTTTTCTAATAGCTCATTTGATCGTGGCAGTCACTCCACGCGGCAGTGTCATTGTTTCCCCAAACAGAAAATGAGAGAGTAGAGAGGTTGAGTGATCTGCCCCAGATCATCTAGCACAAAGGCGGTACAGTGAGGATGTGGAACCAGGCAGTCCGGCTTCCGGCCCACGTGCTCGGTCACTACCCTGTCCTAGCTGTGGTGATTACCATAAATACATTTCTCCCTTTCGTCGACGTGATTTGGAGGTTTACCAGGAACTAGCACCTCTCGGCACATATTCGAGATCATTTCTTGGTCATTGCTAAAGGATGGGAGAGGAGGTGATTCTATGAAAGGAACCGAAGGCCCAAGCACAGACACAAGACAGGCATGTTCACGTCATGACGTTTAGCAGGAACCAGGTCTGGCCACCTTCTTTAGTACTGGACTCCAGTGCTGTGGGTATCTTAAAATGCATACCCGATATTCTCTAACACACCCTCAGGTAGAAAACAAAATATAGAACAAACAAATGCTACTTCTTACTAGATCTAGTAAGTAAATATTCATACCAAAGCCTCTATTAGATGACATACATTATCTTTCTTAATTGAATCAACAGGACACAGTGGAAGCCATGGGTCCCTCTGTGACAGTCTGTAAATCACATGGATCAATATTGAAGCCCAACATTACAAAGAGGAAAAGAGGACCAAAAAGACAGTGCAGATAAATTGTGCCTCGAGCTGTATTCTCCCTTTCGTTTTGAATTGCTTGTCCTTCACTTCTTGTTTTCTGCCTAGGAGAATACCTACCTGACTCTAAGCCTAACTCAAAACCCACATCTCGGGAAAGCATTTTCCATTCCTCTTCACCTGGAAGCAATCACTCAGTCCTTTGAAGTCCTCTTTATAGCGCTTGGATTTTGCTTTCATGTTAAGTTATTCTTGTTACCCAAGCAGACTTTTGGGCGCTCTGGGACAAAAATGGTGCCTTCCTCAGTTGCGTATACCCTAGCACGGAACCTTACAGAGAGTAGATGCTAAATAATTATTTGACTAAGTTTCTGATCTGGAAGTGAAGAGGTGGTGACATCTAAACATGTCCCATTTTAACCACTCTCTGGCATAATAACTAGTTCGACCTAAATAACTGAGCATCTTAGTATGTATTTTATATAAGGGGAAACAAAAAAAATTGTGAAATATGTCTAAAAGAAATGTTTCCAGGACATTTTGCTTTTTAAAAAAAAAAAATAATAATTAGATTTTCAGGCAGAAAAATTTATTTAGCCCCTTGCAAGTTCTATGTTTATGATTTAGGCTCGGGACATTGTAAAGGTATGAATTTAAAGATCACCACTTCCATAAAAGCAGACAGCACAATCAAAAATTCACTTTTGCTTTCATAGCAGAGGTCTTAAGAAGCAGGGTAGCCTAGTAGTTACAGAGCTGGGGTCCTGCTGCCGGACTGTCTAGCTCCAAATCCTGACTCTGCCAGTGAACGAGTTCACCTGTGCTTCAGTTTCAATATCTCTGAAATGGATATAATTATAATAGAGTATCAATTCTTCAGTATTTTGTAAAGATTAAATGAGCTAATACAAGGGAAATGTTTAGAAGAGAATTAGCAAACTTTATTCCTATTATTCTTCAACATCACTAAGTAGAAAGACCATAAATATGCTTCCAAGTTTGGATGTCTTATAGGGCAAGGAGTATTTGTAACTTTCCAGAATGAATTTATATACTTAGTTGCTTATTTTCTATGGCAACAACCCCTCTCTTCTGAGGCAGTGCAGAAGTACACTTCTCTTACCTACCCTGATCTTTCAGGTGTAGCAGATATTAATGTCTGTAAAGCCACAGAGCTTTAGTGTTGACTATATTGGAGGAAAGAGCTCATAGAACCCAGTTGGAATACCTAAACTTAAGTATCAAGAATGAAAATCTCTATGGATATGAAATAAAATATAGGCTATAAAGAAATGAAATACTTCACTGTAATTAATTCTTAACTGGTATTTTCTATTCAAATATACCAAATTTAAAAAGCCATAAGAAGTGCACTGAGGGCCTGGAAATGTGTTATACTTACAGCATTCGTGCACATAGCAAGAATCTTCAGACTGGAGAGCTATTTTAGAATGTTTTTGTGGTACTGTTTGCGAGGGGGAAAAATCTTTGAATGTTCCATTTTGGATACTTTCTGCAGTTGTAAGATTAATCAAACTGAAAGAATGCGATCAAGAGATAATCAGTTCTGATACTTTAAAAAAATTTTTATGACATATTTTGGTAAGTGCAGGAAATGACTGAAAAAAAAATGTATTCTAATTTCCTGGAAAGACAGAATATAATTGCTTCCCAAGCCACTTTCTGTCCTTTTAAAGATAGGTTAAGATGTTCCTTTGAAAGTTCCATCTATACAATGGAAAGCACACTCCCTCTCCAGGCTGCCAAGGAAAGCTTTGTTGAAATTTTCCAAGTTGGTTAAGCTGGGTTTGGCATCATTGTACCCTCAGCACAGCATAGGTGCCTTTAGGACTGTGAAATCCCAGTGACGAATGTGCTTTGCTATTCATTACAGGGTGACAGTGGTGGGCCTCTTGTTTGTGAGCGGCCCACAGGACAGTGGACATTGTTTGGTTTAACCTCGTGGGGCTCCATCTGCTTTTCCAAAGTCCTGGGGCCTGGCGTTTATAGCAACGTGTCCTACTTCGTCGAATGGATTCAAAGACAAATATACATACAGACCTTTCTCCTGAACTAACTCCAAGGATGATCAGAGATTCTGCCAGCTACACTCAAAGAAAATGGCCTTCTTGACTGTGAAGAGCTTCCTGCAGAGAGCTGTAAAGAAGCACTTTTCATGGGCAAGGAATGCTGACCACTGCACTGCAAGTTTGCATGTTTGTTTTGGGCTAAATTTTTTCAACTTTATTTTTCTCTCATTTCAAGTTCAGTGAAAGACTTTAAAAAAAAAACTAAGCAAAGCAGACTTTGTTCTTTTGCCAAAACTAACCTTGATTGCAGCACAAAATTATCAACTCTGGAGAAATTTAAAATAATGCGGGCGCTAGAGAGACCTGTTACAGGAATCTTCCCTTTTATCCTATCACAAAAAGGACACTGAGATCCAGGCCAACTGATTAATCTTTGCAAGTTTTTGTTTCTCAAGCACAGTAGCATAGTAGCAAATTTCAACATTAACATTAGAGACTTGCTTTTGATATATTAAAAGCCAAGATAATTTACATGTTTAAATTATTTACTGTTACTCTTCTAATGCTTGCGTAATTCTGAGAACTTATAAAAGACAAAGGTAAAAGATGAATAGCATCCATTTAGGTAGCAAAAGATATTGAATGCAGAGTTCTTTAGACTTCAGTATTAACACTTGGCATTATAGGATTGCCCATTCTGGATTTAAATCAAGGTTGTAATTTTATAGAAAAGTCTCTGTAGAACTTCCCCCGTAACTGTGGTTTGTTCAGTGTAGATGAGTTGGCTGATTGAGATTTCAAAAACTAAATCAATATTCCTGGGAAATATTTTGTTTTGCCTATATGACAATAGAGTAGATATTAAACTTTGCCAACAAAGAATTTGCTATAGAATGGAGTGATGCAATTTTTTAAAAAAGAAAATTAAATTGTATTCCTGTCCCAATTAAATATTTTTTTGTGTTCATTCGTATCAATAAAGTCACAGAAATATATTTCAAAGCACAGTAAAACTTTGCATGGAGTAAAACATTTTGTAATTTTTCTCAAAAGATGTTTAACATCTGCTGTTGCAATTTCTTTTTATTGACAATTAAAATTTCAAAGATGATTTTTTTAGCACTAGGCCACTTTATGCAAATCAATTTTGAAGCGATTAGTGGTTAAAGTGTTTTTCCCTACTAAAAAGCTTCAAAACACCAATCATCATGTATATCTAACTTAATTAATCAGGCATTCATTCTGCAACATTCAAATGCCTTTTGAACACATACACTTCCCTATGGAACCTCCACCAGCAAGCTGGATTGCCTCTGCATTCCAAATAGAGACTACTAGCGATTTTATACATGTATTTTTGTACTCTTTTTCTATGTGTAAACACATTTGAAATTCAAAAAGCTGTTTAAACACTTTCCATGTTGTTCATATCCTGTCTTGGAGTCTGTATTAATATAAACCTAGTGAGTGTGAAATACAGTAACTGGATCGTGGTCACAATTGTATGAAAGTTTAACAACGATTACAGTTGTAGGTACATACTTAATGTAACAACTTTTAGCCTTGCTCAAATCTTGTGCAGTGAAATGTATGTAATGTACTTACTTTAAATCTTAATACAAATAAAATATCTTGTTTGTTTTTGGATGGATATGGAACCCAGATAGCAAGTGTCAGGAAATTGTTTCCCTCTCTATAATAGTATGCCGGCACCCAGCTCCCCACCAATCAAAATTTATCTCTCTTATATCTCGTTTTCACAGGTACATCGTCTTTTAGATGACCAACGGCTCCTTGATTAGTCTGAAATCACACATTGCTAATAGTCTCACGTCACCTATTGAGCGACCGATGAGAACTTTAGCACTGGTAAAAGCACATGGATCTTTAACGTCTAAGGTACACTTTGGGAAACTGACCAATTCTTTAAAAATCTTTTGTAACAAAATTATATCTCAAAATGTGTATTATTAATTTCCTTGGCTACTAGGAGCAATGATATAATGCTTGTTCCCCCCAAATTTAGTGAAATATACTGAACACTAAAATGCAACAGATCACATCAGCTTTGTGTAAGAGTTACTTACTTGTAAATGTGACCCTTTAAATGCTTAATACAGATCCCAAATTTCTTTAGCCTAGGGGCCAGAATGTGTTTCAGAATTCAGAATTTTCCAAATTTTAAAAAGATAAATACAGTTTGGTACTCAGTAATAAAATAGGCTATTAATATTTTTGTAGTAAAATATATGAATTTTAGACTTTAAGTATATAAATAGACTTACCTTTGTTCAGGGCATTGAATTTGTACCTAATTTATGAAAAATATTTTCAGTTTTCAGTGCTTTGGAAATTTTAGAATTGTAGATATGAGATTTTGGCCTCATAAACATTCAATTTTTTCCTCTATGTATAGATAATTCATATCTTGGAAATTAACCTTTTTTGTTAGTGTTTTTGGCTCATTCTTTTTATTCTTAGATTCTAACCTTTTATTTACAAGTGAATGTGTCCCTAAATTTTTATTTAGCAGAAGATGATGATCTCAGGGAATGGATGCCAGCTGCCACGAGGGTAAGAAAAGGCCGAAACAATATTCTGGTAAAAGATGTGCTTTGGGACTTTCCTTCTAAGTTCTGGTACTAATTACAGTGAGTGTCTACAAGAGTTTATGACAGTTTTTCAGTACCCATTATTTATTAAACAGTTTATTTTAAAAAATAAGGAAGTAGAAAGCAACTTTCATTCGTCATATAGGATTTTGAAAGTTCTAGAAATCAGTCTATATCAAAGATCATATGCAATAATATCAGAAGGCTACAAAAAACGTCAGACCATGATAGTAGGCAACGGGTAGAAGATTAAACCCTGAGAATAACAGTTTAATAGTCATTAAGAAGACCTTGATGTAGACATTGAACATTAGCATGGAGATTCATGAGAGAAATTCTGTATGATTGTGGCTGACAGCTTTCAGATAACAGAGACAGAATTTTAAAAGGACTTCAGCAAGAATACATGACGTTATAATAGCACCTGGCCTTACTTGTATAAACTAGTTTCTTTGCTCCAACTAAAGTCAGCATACATGATTTGCACGGAAGTAAACTTGCTATAGACATTCCTGTCTTCAAATGCATTAAAAAACGAATTTTTTAAGCACCATGTGAATTCACCGTCAAATTGGTGTTAACTGAGCAACACCTAAATGCACATATAAGAATAACATTCTCCGGGCATCGGGCAGATGGGAGGAGGGGATGGGGCTATACATATGAGTGCAATGAGCATTGTCGGCAGGGAGGGGCATCCGTACATGCTTGAAGCTCTGACTGGGGGGCAAGATATGTAACCTAAACATTTGTACCCCATAATATGCTGAAATAAAAAAAAAATGAATTTTTCTAAGAACCTCATAGAAACCTCCTGAGAACAATCTGTATTAGTCTTAATTTATATCTCATTTTTTACAGGCTACAACACTAGAAAGGTTGTAGGATATTGTGTAAATAAAATGAACCCTCAGTTGGTCTCTAGAAGGTTGTTTTGAAATTGATGGTGTCATTTCAATCAGGCTAGTGTCAGTTTTAGAATCCAGGGACTTGCCCGATGGGTTACAGGCCCAGTTGATTCTGTCTGCCTAACCTTAGTTTCCTAATTGACAACATCTGTACAGAGGCATGCATTCCTTGTAGCTGATAGAACACTATCTTTCCTGCCCCTTATTAAGGTTTCACCTTAATAAAACACTGACATGAGCAGTGAGGTTGAGGTATGTCTAACATATTTTAACTGTATTTTAAGCAGTACAATTATACTCTTAGGTACATTGTTGTTTAAAAGGCTACTGGAAGTTTAACCATTTATAACTTTTTTTCCATATGAAAATATTTTCTGAGTCCTAACTCAAAAGTACTTTTTTCTCAATAAAAAAAAAAAAAATTCAGATTGGAGCCAGCTCATTTAAAGCCTTTCCCAAGAATGAGCTCTCCCCGTAAAATAAATATATCTCAAATGACTCCCCTTGAAAATGTTTGCATTTCTAAGACAATTAAAATGCTTTTACAAAATCCAAAAAGTTTCATAAAAGCATTTGATTCTGAATTAAATATTTCACTTCCCTAAACTCTGTCCAGGTCAAACTCACCTCTCTGTTACGAATGTATTTACAAATATACAATAACGGTCATGCTGTCAGCTTTCCCAAGCCTGGGAAAATGCTCACGTCCCTTATGGAAAAACATGAGTCATTCTTGTTTGGTAGAGGTGCCTCTTCAAAATCCCTCTTCCGCACTCGAAAGAATACTTCAAGGAGGGCATCTGCTTTCTTAATCTTTTGCGGGTCCAGCCACCTGCGAGGCTTCAGTTTATGCCAGGTCTAGAGCAGTTTCACATACAGACACGTTTCCTCGCTCAACAGCACAAGAAGTTGCTGCCTTCATTGCAAAGACAGCAGGAAGTCCAGACATGGGTGTTCTTCCTGACTTGTCAGCTGCTTGTTCAGCAAGTTTTGATGTCACTCGATCCATCTTTCCAGCCCCCTTCCACTTCTTGAGGGCTTCGGTCCTCTCCTCCGGAGTGAGTCTGTCAAAGTGCTTAGCTCTCAGAATTGGAGATGGAAACAGGGATCCCTGCAGAACTCTGTATACAAACCTAAGTCAGCAAGAACATCACAGAATTAAATTCACCTCAAAGGCATCGTGGGTGACACAATACTGACCAATTAGAAAAAAATAAAATGATTGGGTGGCCACTTGGCTCCTTGGGAGATAGAGAAAGGGATCTAGGTCCTTGAATAACCTCATGAAGAGCTGCCCTAACCCTGGGAACTGTCAGCAGATGAGACATTTTAATGAGAGAGAAACAAACCTTCCAGGTCGCTTAATTAAGCCATTTATTTTTCTCTGATAGAACAGTTAAAGCCACTATTTTAACTAGCATGCAGACCGACTTCCCTGCTACCAAACAGGGTGGTCTGCCAACCATTCTTAGTAGTGGCTTAAAGGACTCTGAGCCTAGGATTCCATTTACGCTCTTGATGATAAAACACACACACACCGTACCTGGGCAGAAGAGCAATGCAGGTGGTGAGGGCACAAACTAAGTAGAACACTGGATCCAGCATGTGCTCCTGCATAATCCAGTAGGGGTTGGAGGGTGGGTTGCAAGTTACGCACATGGCTCCAAAAGCCAAGGCAAAGAAAAAATAAGCCAAGATACTGCTGACGATGACCAGCATGTGGATCCAAGTCTGCAAGGCAAGAAGAGCAAAGGAAATGGATACTCTCTCAGGATATTGCAGCCGGCGAAACAATGGGACACCACTAAAGGGCTTTACTCAAGGGAGAACAAAAAAAGCGTATTTTTTGTATTATAAGAAAGGCCTAAAGTCATCACTAAAGTCAGACTTTTTAGTCAACTAAAATAAAGAATGCTGGCTGTAGAAGGGTAATTATTCCTCCAGCCTGTCTCACACCTTCGTTAACCATCCACCATCGATACTGCCGAAGGGAGCAGGTGTTTTCCATTCTCCCTGGCTACCCATCAACCTCAGCATAATAGCATTCAGCATCACAAAGAACAGGTGTGACTCACCCTCCTTCCATGGAGTCATTAATCTGCTCATTACCACTCATCTTCTAGGCATGAAGGGCTTAACAGAGACACTGCTAATAGAAGACATTTCCCCAGCCACAAAAGGTTTTGGGATCCTTTAGAGTCAGGAAAACCACTCACCAAACTCTTGCTTTCAATGACCAGATGGAGGAGAATGATGAAGAGCGCAGCTGTGTTCAGGGGGTTTCCAAATGTAAAGATGTCAATGTCTGAGCCCTGGTAGGTCTACAAAGAGAGGACAACAATAGGTAATCTCGGAGAGTCGTGCACACTCGGTGTAATACTACTTTATCTACAGCTCAACTGAGGCTTAGGTCTCTTCTACGACATCCCTATGAACTGGTCCTTTAGCATAAACTTTAACATTTCCAGAAAAGAGATGCTAACTCTCTCCCAGATAGACCATCTAATCTTTAGACTTTTCAGTTGGAATTCTTCTTTATTCTGAACCACAATCGATCTTCCTGAAACCTTTTACTCACACTTCTAGCTCTAAGGTAGAGAGAAATTTGTCTGCCTTAACAGAGCTTCAAAACTTTGAAGCAGTGATTATGACTACCCTAAATTTATGTCTCTCCTAGGCAAATATACCCCCCCTCCTCTGTATGTCTTCGAGTTCTTAAACTATTTCTTGAATGACACAATTTTCTTATCATTCACCATCATTTTCATCCTCTTCTGAATACACTTCAGATTGGCTTTCCTGTATGTTCCTCTTGAAGTGCAGTATAGCCACAATGCTCTCGTGAGGCCAATTCAAACATTTTGAATATTATTTGAAATAAAGAATGAAGATTGTTAATATAGAGACTATCATTTTTTTCTTTCTTAATACCGTACTCTGTTAATACCATCCACGATAAAACAAGTGTTTTAGGTGCACAAGCAGTTATATTATACTGCTTTGTGCTTGGTGTTAGCCTAAATTTTTAAAATTAACCTTTATATATTCTTTGCTTAGTTGCATTTCTTCATTCTTTACCTATAAAACAGGTCTTTTGGTTTTGGAGACACTCCTTACAGGATCTTAAATTTAATACTTTGAATGTCATCCAACTAGAATGAGCCCATCACTCACTAATAAAAGGTTTTATATTCTGACTTTGCCTCTCTGATTTTTGACTAATATAATTATACGGCCAGACATTCAATTTTACGCAAGTCATTGACAAAAATTATTAAGCAGTACAAGGTTAACAAGAGACCCAAGAGGACTTGAACAAGGTACTTCTTTCCAAATTTAATCCATATTAAACATATTTTGGGGGGAGATTATAATTTAGGCAGCTGCTAATCAACCTGATTTTATGAGCAACCTGCCCTTCTATATGCTGATACTGGTGGCAAAGTACAAAGAAGCATCATTGATTCATTAATAACAAATACGCTAAGTGAACAAAGACTCACAAAGTAAGGCACAAAGAAGCAGACCAGGCTCTGATAAAAGGCATCCAACAAGGTGATCCAGAAGGTGAGGGGTAGGTATGCCTGGAAATGAAACAATGTTGGGGCGAAATTAAGATTAACAAGTGTCCAAGCAAAGTCCGGAAACAACACAAGCCAGTATTTACTTTTGCTTCTCCAAGAGAAAGCTTTATTCCTTCATTCTCTCACTCATAAAACAGGTGGGATTTGTCAACGGAGGTAAGAGAATGAGGGTAGTTGAATGCAATGAGTTCACAGGTGAATGTGCTGAAAGAAATCCTTGCAGGAACTCTTATTCAACTCAGGTCGTGTTTATCACTGGACCAATTTTAAATCTACCTGAAATAGGGCTAGTAGTGCTAACTTTTCATTTCCTATTGATCGGAAAACAAAGCACAGGCAAGTTAAAGAAATTACCAAGGTCACATGCCACAGAACCAGAATTTAAACTTAGGCTAAACATGACCCGTTATTTCTAACCCCTGCTGAACCATTGTTTACCTGTCTGATGTTTGGAAAAATTACTTAACCCCTTTGAGGTTCGGATTTTTCATCTTAGAACGGGAACAATATTAGGTTCTGTCTCCAAATGTTTTCATGAAGATAAATGAGCCGGGGGATGTTCAAGAGTCAGCACGACAGATGGCAGCAGAGTTTAGTGATTAGTAAGAACCAAACACTGGATTTTTTCCTAAAAGTACCTCAGGCTTTTCATAGACTTATCTGTGTTCATCTCAGAGGCAAGTAACTTAATATCCACCATGTGAGTAGAGATGTTTTAAAACAAGGAGACATTTCAAATAGTTTTAAACAGTTCTGAGTGGACTGGAATATTTGGGTTAGCTGATGGGAAAACACACTGGCTTTGACAACGGATGCGTCGGTATCCACGAATCCTTGCTTCAGCACCTACCTCTGATTTCTGACCGCTCTGGTAAAGCTCAGGCAGTTGCATGAGGGTCTCTGCAGATACATCTTTCTCCAACACACCATAAATGACAGGAGGGGCGGAGGTGAAGAGGAGGTTGAAGAAGATCAAAACCCAATAGTCAGTCATGGATGTTCCTGAAAACCCACAAAAGAACTGGTACCAGAAAAGGAGGTTCACATAGGCCTAGGGACACAAAGAGGAACATCCGGATCTTAGAAGCAGTGGTGTGTGCTGTGATCACACATTCCATACGCTGCTATTTGCAGCTGTGTAACTTCAGCCTCTCTGCAGTTTCCTCACTGACGCAATGGAAGACTACAACTTACCTTGCAGCTTGATTTGGTAAATGTTTTACTAAATTAAAGTGCATACAGAGGCACCCATGCCCCTCCCCATCTTATATGTGCTGCCGGGCACTGTTCTAAGTGCTTTACAAACTCACTTAATTTTCATAACAACTTGGGATTTATTGCTGTTCCCATTTTACAGATGATGAAACTGAGTGCAACGGACCGAATATTTGTAGCCCCCTAAAAATTCATATGTTGAAATCCTAATCACCAATGTGATGGTGTTAGAAAGTAGAGCCTTTGGCAGATGATTAGGTCATGACAGCGTAGCCCTTCTAAATGGGATGAGCGGCCTCATAATAGGGGCCCCAGAAAGGTTTCCCTCTCCTTCTACCATATGAGGATACAGTGGTAATTCTGCAACCCGGAAGAGAGCTCACCAGAAGCTGACCATGCTGGCACCCTGATCTCAGACTTCCAGAATTGTGGGAAATAAATATGTGTTGTTTATAAGTTACCCATCTTTGAGACTTTGTTACAGCAGCCTGAATGGACTAAGACACTGAGGCACAGAGAGGCTAAGGAACTTGCCCAAAGCCACCCAGCTAATATGTGGCAGAGCCAGTGTTCAATTGAGATATTTCACTGTAGATGAAGAGAGTCTGGCCCAGTGCCTGGCACAAAGTGGGTGCACCACAAATGTTCATTCTCCTGCTTCCTGGGGTCACGATCACTTTGTGGTGGTGAAATGGGGTGGTGCCAGCAGAGTGGCCGGCCATCCCAGTTTGCTTGGACTGACGGGGTTTCACGGGCCATGGGACTCTCGGTGCTAAAGCTGGGACACAGTCCCAGGCGAACCAGGATAGCTGGTGACCCTAGAGGCCAGGCACATGCACCCTGCATGGTTTCCTCCAGTATCCTGCCTCAAACTAAGCCCACTATAGCAAAGGCTCTGTACTCTGAAGCAGGGAAGACCCTGGACTTAGAAATAGGGGGTTTTATTTCAAGGCTTGGGGACATTTCCTGTTGATGGTTTGACTTTAGGCCATTTTCTTACCCTCTCTGAATTTTGGTTTCCTCTTCTGTAAAATGAGAATTATACTACCGTAGGGCTTAGTATCAAGATCAAGTTAGAAAATACTCATGACCTGCAACGTGTCTTACAAATGTTAAGATATTATCATGGCATCAAAGATACACTAGAACACCCTAGGAAAAGGGCCACAATCTTTAGAATAGAGTTTCTTAGTCTAGTGTTCATGGACATACATTATGCCCAGCTCCTGAAAATGTATCACCTTGGGGTACATGTGGTTTGAATGAATTCATAGGGAATGAATTCATAGTCTTCATCAGTTATCTCAAAGGTTGTCCAACATCCAACAAACACAGTTTCAGAAAGATAAATTACTCTAATAGCTTCTGGTCCTGGCCCTTTTCTCCATAGTTTATAAAATATTCATTTTTTAGCTAGGTATATAAGAAGCAAAAAATTAAGCCTAGAGAATATTAGTAGAAATGGCCATCCAAGGATTGCAGAGCAGAAAGACCACAGGGCCCTGATTTTCTGGTGATGCACTCTCTACTTATAAACGCTCCAAGAGCATGTAGCATCTCTTCCTAATACTAGTGCTTCTTAACTCTTTAATCTGGAGTTAAAACATGGCAGGGAGGGGAATAGGTTTCACCATAACAGGAGAGAAGATGCAAAGGTATTAAAAAAAAAAACCAACCTTGGCAAAGGGGCTCCTAAGTCACTGACCACTAAATCAAGGAATTTTAAATTACAAACCACAGTTTTCCCCAGAATTACACACTCAGGCAGAGACTTTATACATTTCAAATATTTTCTTAAAGTGTCTGACTTTCACTAAACTTTGACTAACTGGGCTAATTCTAATTAATAAAATACTGAGAGTTTCCTGAAAAGTTCATTACGATACAGGAAAAAATGCTTTGGTGGACAGATGTGCACACAGAGATCTAAATTACACATTTGAGATGTCTTAAAAATGACTTAAGTTATTTTTTTTTTCCTAAAGATAGTATTTTATAATAACAGAGTGATGTAAACTTATGTCTACTACTGATATACAACATATAGACTTTAAAGACCAAGAATGAATTTGACCCAAAAATCATGATATAGTTTCCTAATTACTGCATTTAGAAGAGATTTAAATGAATACGATTTTATAAAAAGGGAAACTGAAATTTAAACGGTATGCTGAAGATTAGAAGCCAGGGGCTCTAATCAAATTCGGCCCTGTTAGGAATTGCATAATCAAGATAAAGTTCCTTTACCATCAAATAACTACCAAGCCCAAATACATTCTGTAGGCTGGCTAGAGAATTCTCGCATCTGTGAGTACCAGCCAGCTACAGGATGAGACATCATACTGGGTTTTCATCTGTATCTGTGTCTTCAATATACCACAGAGAACATTAATTTGGGAAAAGCAGACATGTTTTGGTATTGGCAGTAAAATGGAAGCAAAGCTTTTCATTTTCTACTGACAGCATTAAACGTTTCATAATTCTGCTTGTCCCAACCTTTTTATGGAAGGTCAAAAATTGGATTTTAAATGAACCAGATAGGACTTAATTTAATTCAAATGCACAGGGAGTAGAAAATGCCAGCAGATGGACCAGCCTAGCAATTTGCTGTCAGAAGCTGAAACACAGCACATTTCCCAGGGTATTTCTGGTAAGACAACAGGACTGCTCCTGGCTGCTCCCAGAACACCAATAAGCAGAGCGAGCTCAGCACGGGACACTTGCTCTTCATCCCTGATGCAGCCGGGATTGGGAGGTGCGAATGGGGAAGGGACAGATTCTCTGGGGTTACCTACCACATTCTTGTAGAAAAAGTAGAGAATCATGTTGGAAAGTCGTGTGTAACACCAGTGCCCGTGGACAAGAAGGAGCTTGCCGAGATGTCTGAACTGAGAAACGGCAAAGTCACTGGCCATCACAGCCTGCAGGGCAAGGGGGACAGAATGCCATCCTGAGATCAAACGTGTTAGAGCAGACACAGCGTGGGCAGCCCGAACATCACGACATTCAAATTGATTACATTTGTTGTTTAAACCTTAAACGTGGATCAACACACACACACACACACACACACACACACACACACACACAAATAGCAACAACGACAACAACAAACCTACGAATACAGAGCCTTCATGGACCTTCTGGAGTAGCCATTCAGCTTTCCAACATGGTCACCAGAAGCACGGTTTCTCTTTTTCTCATAATGCAATTTCAGCAAACGAACTTTCCCTAGGAAGCAGCTCCCTTAGCAAGAACTCCGCCTTCTGCATTACAATATGCATTCGCTTCTCCTCCACGAAGAGCGTATTAAGTGACGCAGTCACGACTTCATATGATTTTGTGTAAGTGTCAGGCAAAGAGGAATCTGAATCCCTCAGCTGTCACAGAGATGTTGTAATTTACAATTCTCAGGAAACCATAAGCCTCAGATTCCACCTTCCTCTGACAGCGTTTGCATTTGGTCCATACATGAAAAGCAGGCTTTTGGAGAACAAGAAGCTCTTATCTGAATTTTGTGCCTAAAATACTATTCAACACACACACACACACACACACACACACACACACACACACACATGCACACAGAGGACATCTGCGCCTCCTTCATTCTTATTCTCTCATACCCTCTTCTTTCCCTTCGCTTCCTACTCCCTCCCACCTCAAGATCTTAAAGTTCTTTATTCAAATCCTTAGTAGCTTTCTTCTGTGTCAGAATTTACACAGCTACTTCAGAGCTAAAACATATATTCCTATGATCTAGATAAGCACTATTTTTTAAACTGTACAAGTAAACCACACAGCTAAAATTACCCAGGAAAATGCTGTAACACTCACCCAGTAAATAATGAATGAATGAATGAATGAATGAACGAACGGATAACATCCTGTCCCCGACCCCGCTGGGCTAACCACACGCAGTCCTCACTCTACCACGCAGATTTCGCCCACTTACCTGCATGCCTTCCTGACCTGACACCCCTATGCCGATGTCCGCCACTTGTATCATGCTAACGTCGTTGGCACCATCCCCTTCATGAAGCAGAAGAAAAGGCGAGAAACATGTGAGGAGTAAAGGAAAGGTGTAAATTTTGCAAGTCGATAGGGGCAACTCAAGTGAACAAATAAATCCTTCCAAGTTTATCCCATTTCTCCAAGTTACCTGGGAGCGAGTGAAGCAGAAATTAAATGTGGCATCCCACCGCCACCAGGAAGGAATGACACACTCCTCACTGCCATAAACTCCTTCACGGACTGACCTCCTCGTTTTCCATGCCCCCCAGGCCACTTCCAAATCTCCAGATTCACCCTGCTCCTTCGACCCACTGCACGTGATGTTTCCTGTTTTCCTGACACTGTGCTCAGCGCCCCCACCGCTTTGCCGGATTTCGACTGCTCTTGCTCTCAGCTTAGATGTCATTTCCTCTGGGAAGTCCTTCTCGTACTCCCTTTAGATCAGATGCCCCTTCCTTAGGCTCTGGCACCGCCCTGTGTAACCGTACCATACCTATCACACGGTACTATGGTTGCATTTAGATCTACTGGTCTCCCCCACCACAGGAAGCTTCTTAGGAGGAGGTATTACGCTCTTGCTGGTAATGAACATAGGTTATTCCCAACTGCTTGCTATATTCATGTTTTTCAGTAATAGTGTCCTGGGTTTCCTTGGGAACGCTTAGTCTATGTGGTTTGCCAGGGTGAACCCAAACGCCCATATTCATGAGTGGGCAACTGACCGCGACCTGTATGATCAGTGTCTCCTGTTCCCTGGCCTCCGTGACTGGTTCACAGATGGGCACATGACTCAACTTAATTAGTATGATTATAAAATCCAGGGTTTCTGGGACCCAGGGGCTTAAAGAATTCATTCATTTATATTCATACATATTCATTCATTCACTCAACAAGATAAGTGAACAAAATTCCGTGCTAATCCTGATACTTTACTGCAGCAATCTGAAAAGAGGTGCTACCTTTTCACCCAGGTTGTTAATAGGAGAGGATATAAACCCAAGAGTTCTCAGTGGCTGCGTGACCACCCTGAATGGAGAAGTGACCTGCGCCTGGCAGCCACCAGAGGAAAACAGAGATGGAAAGAGACAGTTAAGGTACAGTTCCCATCTGAACACTGGAGTGTTTCAGATCTTAATCTCACGCAACAGTACTTTTATTTATAGCCATTTTTTGCTATTGAGGTGTTAATATCCACCAGACGTACGATTCCCAAATTTTTATCTCTAGCCAGTTCCTCATTGCTAAATATCGGACTTTTATCCTAGCCACCTAGTGACATCGCTGCGTAGACAACTAACGGTCTTTCAAACTTAACAAGTGTAGACCCAGCTCCTGACTTTCCCTGCCTCTATCTCAGTAAATGGCATTTCCATTCTTTCTGTTCTTAGACAAAACTTTAGCATTCCCTTTGACAACTCTTTCTCTCATATAAGATACCCACATCACCAACAACAGTTACCGGCTCTTTCTTCAAACCATGTTCGTTACCTGACCACATTCTATCCGGCCCCAGGCTGCCATTGCCTCCTGCTGAATTATACCTATAGCATCCAAACTGGTCTCTTTACTCATGTCTTTGCAGCCCAACAGTTACTCTGCCACAGCAGCCAAGGGGATCCTTTTAAACTTAAGGCAGATCTTGTCCCATGTCTGCTCAAAATCCTCCAATGGCTCCCTAACCTCTTCAGATAAAAGCCAAAATTTCAAAAGGGCCTCTGAGATCTATGCGACTGGGCCACCTGCCACCTCTCTGCCCTGGAATAAGCAGCAGAAAACTCTTTCCTTTGCTCAATCCACTTTGGCCTCCAACATACCAAGCACGGTTCAGCTCGTGGCCTTCACTTTTGCTGTCCCCTCTGCCAGGGACGATCTCCTCCAGATCTGCCCTGGCCCCCTATCGCTTCCTTCAACCCTCTGCTCACAGACAACCTTACAGCGCAGGCCTCTCTGAAAACCGTGTTTAAATTAGCAGGCCCCTCTCCCATCCCCGATGCTCTACGTTCCCTCACCCCGTAGCACTTGTCATTTTTCCGTAGCACTTGTCACTGTCTGATATCAGACATATTTATGTTGTTTTTGTTTGTTTGACTGTATGCCCTCCAACTCGATGTGAGCTCCTTAAGAAAAGATACTTTGTCGATTTTATATACCCATATCTCCATTGCCTAGAAAAATGCCTGGTACAAAGACGGCACTCAATACATATTTGTTGAATAGGTAAATAAATGATCTGTCCATGTCCTTGAGTTTACCTTTTGTGAAGGTAGAACTTGTGCATTTTTCAGTTGGTTCAGTTTATTACCCTACTTAAGCCGGGTGATTTGGGGGTCTGACAGGTACCCCAAGAAGTCCTGACTATGATATTGTTTTCCATGTCCCATCCCTACCACCTGGTTCACAGCAGGTGGTAGAACAGGTGATGGAGGAAAAGTAGGAGGGAGGGAATGTGGTCAAGAGAAGGGGGGAGGAAAATGAGAGGGAAAGGGGGAGAGGAAAAGGACAGAGAGAAGGACCGGCCTCTGGTGGGGTGTGAAAGGCAGAAATGCAGGGCTGGCGCTTGTCCCCACTCACCGATGGCCAGGGTCATCACCCGGAGATGGCCGCGCACCAACTTCACCACCTCGCTCTTCTGCAGTGGCGTGGCTCGGCAGCAGACCACAGCCTGACACCAAGACGTCAGTTCCAGGAACTGCCTTTGCAGACTCTCTTGCAGGGCAAACTCCAGGGTCTTCCCAGTGATAACGAGTCCAGCCCGTAGCTCTGAGTCCTGGGAGATGGGAGGCTGAAGTAAATCCACACTTAGTGACGCTTGCTCTGGACAGGCTTGACCTTTCTTCTGAAGTTCTTTCAAAATCGTGCTCATCAGCATCTCGCAGGCATCCTTGAATGGAGACGCAAAGACAGTTAGCCTTGGAGCTCCCTCGGCGGTTAGAGGCGGCTACATTTTTCATTGTCACCCTTTAGCAATTGCCGGGTCAAGACAACCACAAGTAATGAATAATTAGCTACTTTCAAAGACTTTACAACTCTTCCGCAGAGAGTTCTGTGCATATGTGAGAAGTGGAGAAAGGATGGGGGAACATCTCTTAGAAAGAAATAGCTGTAGAATTTCTTCACGTGTGCAACCGGCCTTCTCAAATAGTGAATCCCAGGAGTTCTTTGGTCTCATTCTGCCATTTATTAGCTGTTTGAACTTAAAAGCAAATTATGTAACCTTTCTGAGCCTCAACTTTCTCATCTAAAAAAATCCAAATATTATCTTCATCATCATGTTGGGAGGACTAAGTGAAATATTAATAATATATACAAAACTCCTAGGCGTGACACACAGCAGACATTGAAAACAGCAATTATTGTTTTTATCTTCTTTTTCATTCAACACATTCATTCACTATTTATTAAGAAATAATATATTAGAAAACATTTTAGGAGCTAGGGATACATCAATAAACATGAAAATCCCTGCCCGCATGGAGCTTGCATTGCTGTCTCATCTGGTTTGCAAACATCCTTACTCCACGCTAGTTAGGAAGTTCTTGAAAGGCACGTGACACTTTTAATTTGCTTGTGAAGCATTTGTGATGCTTAAAAGAGGATCACATCAGGTACTCAGTAAATATGCACTGAATGAATTCTACTCAAGAAGACTAACAATGAGCTTATCCAGAAATTACTGTGCAAAATGACCACTAAGAACAGAGCCTAAATCCAGAAGCAGTGAAATTAAGTTTATACACTAAGCCTGAAATGGTTTATTCACTAAAGAGCCCATTACGCAGAGCCTATTTACTCTAATTTTAAATGCTGTTTCATCAAACATTTCTCAATCCACGACAACATAAAAGGGGTACGGAAGAAGTAGACATGGATATATAGGCATGAAATAGCAAAGATGTAACCACATAAACTATAAACAAGAGATTCAACTTTAAAATGGAGCCACCTAACTCCATTTACCTTAGGAACTCATTGGATCTGGTACACCTCCAAAGCCCCCAAGGAAAAGTATACAAAGAAAGATACAAAGATGAATCAAATCAAATATGCTTATTATAGGATCTATTGAAAAAATTATTTTTAAAAACTTTCTGGATTTTGGCTAAATTAAAATGGCACATTCAGAAAGTAACACACATTTCAGTCATTGAAAATCAAGATGTCTATTAACATGAGATGGTGTTTAAGATATTTGTAACTGAAAAACATAGCTACAACACAATAATCTAAAGACAGTCTTTGTAGCATTAATACCCTTATAGTAAACAGGATGCGGTCTGTGTGAATATTCTCCAAAATATGATTATAAATTGTAGTTTTATGATTATAGATTGATTATAAACGTTTTTATACTCATTTGTGTTTAATTTTTACAAATTAACTATTTTTCATTATAAAAATGTTAGAAATATACACACGCACATTCACACGTACACATTGCTGATGTTCATTATTCACAGATTCCGCATTTGTGAATTCACCTACTTGCTGAAATTTACCTGTAATCCTACAATCAATACTTGCAGCGCTTTTGTGGCCACTTGTCAACACGCATAGAGCAAGATCTGAGTCACGCAACATGCATGTTCTGACACGTTCTGAGCTGAATAGTGCTTGGCCTTCTTGTGCCAGCTCACGTACTGCAGTCCTTTTCATGGTCTATTTGGTGGCATAGTTTTTTTTTTTTGCATCTTTCTGCTTTTTGTTAGAGATTTTGATGTTTAAAATGTCTCGCAATCAGAGTGCTGCAGTGCTGTCTAGTGTTGCTAAGCACAAAAAGGCTGTGACGTTCCTTACAAAGAAATTACATGGGTTAGATAAACTTCGTTCAGGCAAAAGTGATAGTGCTGTTGGCCAGGCATTTAACGTTAATGAATCAAAAATATATATTAAATAAAATGTCTTTAAACAGAAACAAGGTTAAGTATTGATCTGCTGAGAAAATGTGACCACAGACTCATAGGAAGCTAACTTTGTATCTCCCCTAGGAGCAATGGTCAGTATTCACTAATTCAGAGTTTGAGGCAGTTCCATAAAACATAAGTCCACAAATAATGCCAATCGACTCCGTGTGTGTGTGTGTGTGTGTGTGTGTGTGTGTGTGTGTGTGTGTGTATAAAATACGTAATATATTATATAATACAGAAAGTATACTGAAATAGGAATCAGAAAATTTAAAGTTTATTCCATGTTTGATGAGTAAATAGCTGTGGGCACTTAGAGAAATCACAACTTTCTGGAAGCTAAGGCTATAAAATGAAAATAACTTATTATGTCTATTTGTTATAGTTGTCAAATAAGAAGTATGAAAAGCCTTTTATAGATTCTAATAAAGATGACGAAGATAAAAAGTTACTAATCTCAGAAGAAAAATTTAAATGAAATTAAAAAAGCAAAACTTAAAAAATTAAATGATGAATCCGGAAAGGCTTTTATATTTTCCAATGCAGCAAATAATCCAGGATATGATTGCATTAAAACAAATAAAGAAAAAAACTTTTATGAGAATGGAAACTATGTTGTAAATGGCCACATTTTTAATCCAATTTGCAAACTTAGGAGCAAAATTGATGGAAATTTATAAAGTTGATACAACAGAAATAATTTCAGACACTCCACTGGCTGCCAGACGGCCCATTTAAAATGTTCTAAGAGCAATTCTTTCCCTAAATGACAAATTGGGCTCTGTGATCTTCAGGTCCTTTTAAACTCTTAGTGACTCCTGAGGGGGTGAGGATGGGAGGTGGGAAAAAGGGAAAGAATTTAAATGCCAGTGACTGACTCTCCCACGTGCCTGGCATTTAACATGCATAGACTTGGGTCATCATAAAGCTGAATTTTGTTCACTGCGTTCTATTTGTTTATCTGGAAAATTCACACATGTGGAATAGCTACTGATAGCAAAAAAATTATCTTTTTGCTATTATTAGCCAAAAGATATTACGCAACAACATAGATGGAACTGGAGAACATTATGTTACGTGACATAAGTACAGAAAGACAAATCTCACGTGTTCTCAATCATATGTGGGGGCTAAATATTAGAGACAATCGCTCTCATGGAGACAGAGAGTAGAATGATGGTTACCAAAGGCTGGGAAGGGTAGCAGGGAGGGGGGATAAAGTGGGGATCATTAATGGGTACAAAAATATAGTTAGATAATTAGACAGAATGAACAATATTTGATAGCACAACAAAGTGACTTTAATAAATAAGTTAGAACATACCTTAAAATAACTAAAAGAGTGGAATTGGAATGTTCCTAACACAACGAAATGGTAAATCCCTGAGGTGATGGACACCCCAATTACCCTGATTTAATACACGTTGTCTGCCTATATCAAAGCATCACATGCACCCTGTAAAGATATACACTATTATGTACCCACAATAATTAAAAATAAAGATATTATCTACAGTAGACAGCAAACATTTCTTGAATTGGCAGTTTTAAATACCTTTAAACATAAATTGTATATTTACAAATAAATCTCACAATCCTAATGACTTTACTGTTCACAAAATCCCTAAGTCTAAATCAAACACCAAGAATTCATTATTTTTCTTTTTTGATGCTCACTCATCAAACAATTTATGTTTTCTCATTTAATGCCCACGACAGCTCTATGAAATAGGTGTTGCTCTCACATGACCAGTAAGGAAAAAGAGAGGCTTGGGAGGGTGACTCCCTGGGGTCAGGGCCAGGCCTAGCATTTGACCACTGGTCTCACCAGCCACTTAGGCCGCATCCTTTTCAGTGA